AAACATGTGTGGGCCTTTATTGTCTCACATGAATACAGGAGAAAGCCAGATAAGATGCAAAAATGCTGGAGAAGTATTTCTGAAATTCTGTCTGGAGCATTAAAAATGCTTCAGCATAAAATGTACTAGAAATGTATTTAGCTTATTGGAGGTTTTAAAACTGAACGCTAGCATATACTTGTTTAGAACAAAGTCCCATCACCCTCAGTGAGATTTATATCTGAGTTTACACATGCAGGATTGCACTGCGCATTGTTTACTCGATAGTGTTTGTGGAGGTCAGTCTCTTATATTTTGAAACTGTCTTGAGCATCTGTAATATCTCAATGTGCTTCTTTTCTCCTCCCTTCCTCCCCACCCTCCTTCAAACATAGCAAAATATCTTGATGATTCATCAGAACTGATATTTGGCAGCTCAACATTTTAAATTATATGTTATGATACTTCTAAAAAATGTTACAAAAAGGGATAGAGTGATATTTATCATGTTTTCAATGGACATATATTGTGTATTACATCAAGGTGTTTTCAATACTGTTATACAACAATAACAATTGGGTAAATTTAAATCCGTGATCATTTTTCTATTTTTCTGTGCCACTTTAATCCCTGTTGACAAATATCTTCTGATTCTCTGATAACCAAATCCCACATCAGGTACAGAATGAAATATATATGGAGAAGGTTCATGCACCTAGTGTTTAAGATTACTGAACTCATGAATAAGCACAAACTAAACTACAGCTGTTATCATCTGCCTGGAAATGAAGATCATCAAGCCTACTTCCAGCTTATTTCTAAAAAAACTGCTCTGTTTTGCACCTGGCAATGTCAATTTCTATCCATGTGGTTTTCGTGGTAAAAATTCAGGAGTGGTTTACCATGCCTGCTTCCACACAATATTAATTGATGCCTTTGACATTGTCACTAAAGTGATCATCTGCCTCTGGCATCTTCCTGCATTGCTGCTGCCCAAGACAGGTGCCTGCTTGCTTTAGCTGGGCAGCTGGGATGACCTTGGGTGACCTTGTTGGGAATATATACTTTTGGCATGCACTCCCAACATTCTTCAATCATCTGTCCCAGGAACACCCATGCGGTATGATGAGACTGCACAGCACAATTTGGGTGTGTGTGTGTGTGTGTGTGAAATAAGATTCCATGGTTAGTACAATTTCCCAGGCTGGGGAAAGAAGCTGAGAGAGAATCAAGATAGATGACACATGCTGAGAGCTATTCTTAGTGAGTTTGCCTTAAGACCATCCATTTTGATGGCCATCATGACAGTCAGTTCCATAGTTAAATCTAGTGCAGTGTAAGGAACAACTTCTTTTTATTTGCTTTGAATCCTTCTCTTATGGAATATTTCTGTGTGTGCAGTGTGCGTCTCTCCACCTCGGGCTTCTTTTGTACAAGGACAAAAAGTCTGGGATTTATCTTACACAAGAGCTTTTTTTATGGCATTGCTTCTTGGATGCTCATGTGATCACAGAGGGTTTCTGTGAAATGCCTACTTCATCATGAAACTGTGGATAGTTTAAATGTAAAAAGAACAGTTGAAATCCTCTTAACCATCTTATACACCTAACAGAGTATTTGAATTTTCCCTGCCTCCAGCAGATTTTTAAACTTCTTGTAAAAAATATGAATACAAACAAATATACAAGTATGGATGGACAGGTATGCCTCTTTGCTTTGGAAAGTATTCACATTTTAAAGCATTTCTTCATTCTATTCTGTTTCCATAGCTGATTATAAATGCTTTCTTTTTACTGCACAGTAAAATTAAAATATAGACATTTATGCAATTCTTATCCTCTTTTTTTAACATGCAGTTCTTTGGGCATATTGTTTCTTGTTTTGATGATACATACTTTGGAATAATAGGCAATCACTCCTTAACTTTACTATAATTTACCTGGAAGCTCCATTTAACTAAACCAAAAATCAAAAACACTACTAGAGCTAATGGCTAAAAAGGCAATCTTTTAAATATCACTCAGTCCCTGGTATGCATAATAATCCTTAGGGGATAATAAAAAATGAGTACATAATGTCTTAGAGCAAGAATATCTTCTGCTACAGGTTTCTTCTGCTACAATTTCTGTCCCAAGTTATATTTAGAAAAGTTATCTGAATTGATTTTATGATGTGTGGATCCCTGCATATTTTTTTTTCCTGTTCAGTTTAGGAAATACCTAAGCAAGGTTTAGAGATGACTTATAATTCTGGATGCCATACCAACAAACTGACATTTTCATAGTGCTATAACTTCAGGAGTCAGCCTTATCTAACTTTTACCAGCAAGGAGTTGCAAAGGGATGGAAAAATCGCTGAAGTTATTTCTCCTCGGTATATACACCCCACCCTCCATATCTTTGCATTAAAAAGTCAGGTTAAAAAAATAAACATGAAATATAATCCTCAAAATTCCACAGAGAGGTCAAGAAATAGAAAATATTAAAACATGAAAACATTTCATATCCCCACTGAGGTCTACTTCAGACCTTACATTTTTTAATAGAAAACAGATATTATTACATTATTATTTATGGAACTTTTACTAGCCCTTTCTATTATAAGAAGGAATCATTAAGGAAATTTACTACAAGAATTGAGTAACAAAATCAAAATATAATAGCAGTATAAATAATTGAAAACATGACAGGGCACTCCTAAAATCTCATGGAAGGCAAGGTGAATTATGACATAAGATACAACAAGATAGTTCCTCGGTAAGACAAGTTCTTTCTTAAGTCTGAGTACAAAAAGCACTTATTGAATGAAGTACTAGTGAACAATTACACTTTAGGGATAGCCATTACTTAGTGGCAGATGATACTAATTACTCACATCTGCTTTGAAAGGGTTTGAATTCACTGCTTTTCAGTATGGGTCAGACTTTTCAATATTAGCAGTTTAAGGCTTTTAGGATTTGCTTTTTTTTTCTCACTAGGATCCTGAAATTGTCAACTGGATCCAAGTGCAAAACAGTGCAAATGGGGTAAGGGAGCAGACTCATAAAACAAGGATACATCTTACTTCATAAATATTTATCAGATCTGAACTCACAGTCTGGTCACCCAAAAATCAATTCTTGTTCTACTCACCACCTTCTTTTCATAGCAAATGTTTAAAAAGAAAAACCTGTTCGTTGCTTTAGTTGTGAAATAATTGGAAGACAGGTTCCTTTGAGAATCCTTTACAAATGTTTGAAAGACCTATCAGTAAATCCTGATCTACTTTTCTACCACTAGGAAATATGAAAATATGACATAATTTTCTCTATTCCTCTTTAAAAGCATGATTTCTCCTACCCTCATAATGTGTGCAGCTTAGCAGGATCTGACAATGCTTATGACTATACCTTATCTTGAGAACAGCATTAGGGCACTTCTGCCCGGTACTCTTAAGTGGTTCTGGTCCCATGCTGAGGCTGGCTGGTCTCTAAGACAGTTTAAGAAAAATTTGGCCAGATTGGGAGACCTCAGAACTTAATCCTGTTTACAAAGTTAAAGGATCAAAATGTGCATATATGCCAGCATCAAAGCAGCTTTAAAATTCCTTTCTTGCATTTCACCAGGTTTACTTCCCTAATCTCTACTGCAGCTATGTTACAATAGTCTCTCAGTACTGTAGGGGTTATAAAATGTATCTGGAGCTGCTGGGAATCTAAGTCATATGTTAGACTAGGAATTTGAAAAACATCATAGGCAAAAGCATTGGCAACGATATCCATAGTGCTACCAAGTAAATTATGTGAACATGTCCATAAAACCGCTAGGCACTGAGCATGACCTGAAGGAGACCAGCATTTTTTCATTACCCCTGAATTAAGGTTCTTCCCCAACAACACCCTTGACATTAATGTTACAAATCCAAGTTAAGCAAGAGGTGCTTAAGCTTTGTATGTGCAAATGCTTGTGGTAGCTATTCCCCTTATCATAAAGTAGAGAAAGCAGTATTTTTGGATTTTTTTAAAAATGAGAGAGAGCTATATCAATGTGTACTGTAAATCCTGCCACAGGAAAACCATTTTATATTCACATTTGCTGCCCTCGCTTTACTAAAAGCCTATCCTTTTGAAGATAGGATAAGAATATAATAATTATTTTAAAGAAAAGACCCAAGAATCATCAAATCAAACCTTCTTCAACCTAGTGTTTTTAGATGTATTGGGACTATATTACCCATAATTTAGAAACAGTACTCTCCAGGTAGTATGGACATTATAACTGGCCAACCTTACTTGGAAGTTAAGTAAGTTCAGGCTTGGTCAGTCCTTGGATAGGAGACTATTAAGAAATACCAAGGCTGTAGAGTGAAATAGGAAAAGTCATCCTGGAAGAAGGCAGTGATGAACCATCTCTGTTGCCAAGAAAACTGCATATTTGTAGTTATGGTTATGTAGCCATGTAGTCATCAGGATTGAACTCAGCTCAGGTACATCTTTACTTGCTAATCCAACAGGAGGATGCTAATATAGGGAAATCTGAACTAGACTATCAACTTGTTTCTATCAGTGGTCAACTAGAACATCTTAAAAGTTCACTTCCTGGAAATTCTCTCAGCAAAGACTTTCTCTGAAATACTCTCAACTGCAGCTGGAGCTTCTGTCTCCTTTCCACAGACTGCATCACTCTATTTCTTAGGGAAAAGAACTTTTGAGCCATATCCACCTCATAGATATTCTGGACAAGATTGTACATTAACCACATGCCTTGACCATGTATGTGTGTATATGTGAAGAAGCAAATCCCCATTCAGATACCACCTTAACAACAGATTGACCTGCTAGACTGATCCAGTTGGTTTAATCAGCTTTAGTTAGGTTACTTATTTCTTGTTACAATTACAGATTCTCCAGATGATCATCCACACTAGCCCTCAATTTCATAACAATGTAATTAATTATATAAATAATTAAACAGACTGCAGCCAAGATATAAGCAAAATGTGCTCCTTAATTCATTTAAAAATGCCATTAAGTCACGTCTTACCTTTTCTGTCTTGTGTGCCATCTGATACCTAATTAATTTCTTCAGCAATAAGTAATACGTAGCCATGATAGAAGATGGCTTGTTTTTAATCAAGACAGTCACAACATCTGAAAGGTTGAACTCCATTGTTTCTGTCATGTAACTCAAAACAACAGGATTCAATTCATTGGGGTGAAGCCTGAAAAGAAGATGCTAAGTGATAGGCAAAACTGTTTGGCACAGGTTGGAACAGAACTCAGTAAACTGAGCTATGTTCTTCTACACTGGAAAAGAGTGTGCTGTTTTGTAATTCCAATTCAAATTTCAGTCAGAGAATCTCCCCCATGTCCACCAAGTTTTCCAACCAGTCCCCCCCCCCCCCCCCC